GCTAATCAGTTAGGTTGTGCTAAAAAAAAAACCAAAAACCAGGCAAATCAGTTAGGTTGTGCTAAAGATTTCTGCTCTTTTCCTTCCATCCTCATTTACTTTTCTCAGATTCCACAGAGGTGGCTACAGATCTAGGTTTGTGACTGTACAATTTTCTCTGCTGCTGCTCAGGGAGCACATAGGTGCTCGTTAACATCCCATTTGTATATGTAACAGTTAACTGTATTTGCAGAAAAAAGGAAAACCCAACAAACTAAATAAGCCCCCATTGAAACGTATGTGATATAAACCCATCAAAAGCTTTTGAAATGATGCAATTTTGTTCAATTACTCAAAAAATACAGCAAGATCTTAGGGGAATTTCACTTGTCTGTGTGAAACTCATTTCCTCGAGTGTGATGCGCTTCCCATTCCACATTGGGATTGTTATGTACATAAAACTTTGGCTGTAGGTGTGGGAACCTTGTGTAGGAGAATAAAGAGTAGAGACAAAAGTCTTGTCAGTTTAGGCAATTACAATAGCTCTAGAATGCATACGTAAGTGGACTTTGCCTCTTAATAATGTTAACTGACTGTTTGGTAGGATATGCTTGAGTTATGGAAAGATTTACCTGCTAAGAAGGTTTTGTTATTGTACAGCACGGTGAAAATATTAAACTGAGCAATGGTTTTTGGAAGTTACATTTCGGATGGACTGCAGGAGAGGTGTATTTCCACTCGTCAGGTCTGTTAATTGATGGAGTAATGCCTTGACTAGGATTTAGTGGAGAGGAAAAGCTAAATTATTGTAGTATTTCAACCCTAAACTGATTAAAATATTTTTGTCTGTAGTGGTGACTGAGTTCATTTCTACGCTTTCTTCCATGATTGGTGTTTTATAAATTAATTAATTTTCCCAAATTTGCATTTAGTATAATTAGATTATTTGTCTTGTCAGATAATTTGTCATTCAGCCTTGCAAAATAATCAAGAAAACCTGTTAATCCAGTGGAAAAAACTACTTGCCACAAATATGGTGAACATATTCTTTCTAGTGCCGCTGTAATGAGCACACTAACTTTAGGTAGATGTGTATCTTAGAAGATAACATCTCTTCCAATATAATTGTCTTCCTTTTTCAAATAGTACACTGTTTTTAGGATCTATTATGTGACCGCTTGTCAAACAGCTGTATATGCTTTCTGAAGCAGCATTACTGACTCTGAAGTCTTTGAAGCCTATACAATCTATCAGTGGTTTGTCTTACTAAAGAAATCCCGATATCCCAAGATACTTTCCAGACTGGAAATATTTGCTTCCTTAAGAGAATTGATTTGATTTTAGAAATGTTACTGCACATTGCAGTCTTGCTTGCTGCTGTCTAGTTACTTTTAAATTAGAGGTAATTAAAAGGCCGTAGTATTTGCTGCTGTGAGGGGAAGGTCTGTATTCTCTCACCACTCTTAAATTTTGGATCTGATAGCTGAGCTGGATGCAGGCCAACTTAGCCATGGTCAGCTTACCATTTGCTGCAGACAAGTTGATTTGTTTTCAGCTAGTAATTTGGATTTGGTAGTTTTGCGCTTCATTCCGTGCTTCATACAATCTGTTTATAATGACTTTGTGCGGTAGGAGTGAGCATTCAAAATAAACTGGTTCTGATTGAATTTTAATGTCTGAGAGGTTGCTATTCATCACCAAGGGATGAATGATCTTTTTCATGATTCTTTGTTATTAAAGATTTAAATGGCTTCAGTCTTGTGACATATGTATGTGCAATCTACTGGTACGGGCAGGTTTTTGTTAGAATGCATAAATGCAGGAGGTGAACTTGCTGTTTTACGGTGTTTGTCACTTGCGTACTACTAAAGATCTTCATCTAGCAATGGAGTAGCATTTGTGCAGGTAATAAAACACATCTCGTAAATGGATTGGGCAAGCTGCATGCAACAGCAACTCAGGGAAACCTTCCCAAACCTTCCTAAAAACAGGGGAACCTTCCTAAAAGTCTCCCGTGGTTGGTAGTACAGGCGTTTCTAGATGCCCATACTACAAGCACAGACAGCGGTGGTGATCTGCTTCGGCAGTAAGCTTTTAACAGAGGCGGGACTTCACTGTGTAAGAACACAGAGGTGGTTATAAATTCTTTCATTAATGAAATTTAGTAGAAAATGAATTTTTGATCTGCACACACAAATGTAACCGGCTGTGTTGTTGGATCTCTTGGTATGTTGCTGTGTTTTGAATATGTGGTGAGAGATGCACCATAAAATAGCGCCTCACTGCTGGTGAGCACTTGGATGTCCTTTCTTCTGTACATCTGTGCTGAGCCACTCCTGCATAGCTGCAGAGAAGTGGAGCAACACTGCAGGAGTCTGTGATGATCAAAGTACGAGTATGGCACCTGTGCCCTCCAAACCCACGTTTTGATAGCTACAAGATAGAAGTAGTAAAAGTGTCTTTCCCTCTTGTTTTATAGGAGGGTCTGATGGGGGAGGGAATGCATGCTGCTGGGAACTTGGGGAGTGGAGGGTGAGGCTGGTTAGGCGTGATGCATGAGAAGGAAGAGCCGTGAAGGTTGGGGAGGACAGAGAATTAGAACAGGTTGGATGAGAAGAGAAGGTAACAGGTTTTAGATTGCCTGTGTGTATTACATCCTAGAGCTTTGCATGTATCTCAAGTGTCTTACGTCACCAGCCTTTGATTTTTATTGGCAGTCTTGAAGAAAGCCATGATCTCCCTTACAGTTGTTTGCTAGATTAAATAGGGAAGGCTGACCTGAAGTTTCTGATTCTACTGTCGGAATTGTCCTGTGAATCTGTCATGTGATATCGAGATGGGTAATAGCAGTTTCTTCTGTTTAAATTCTTCAACAAGTGCAAACTCTACAGAAACAACCTCCAAGTTGTAAAGTCAAACAACTCAAAACTAGTAAATTCAGAAATGAACTTGCCTCTGCTTTGTTAATTAACTTCTCTTGCTGCACCTTATGATACCATCTTTAATTACACAATCACATTAAGTTTTCCAAAGCTGCTTGCTTCATTTCATGCACAGGACAGATCTGCTTGAAGGGTGAATTGGGGCTGTGCGGTGAAGGGCACTTCTGCCCAGAGGAGCCTGCTCAGCTGCTACAGAAATTGGAAGGTTTGTGTTTGGAGGAGAGGGCTGGCCAAGGGGGAACGAGCATGAAGTGAACAGGTGGTCCAAAGAAGCTCAAATATTTATTGGGATTGTTGGGTGTGGTATTAGGAAAGCTACTTGCAGCAGGCTTTTTTAAGTGGTTTCTCGGCATGTTATTGGTTTGTTCTGTAGATATGTTGAGCTGCAAGTAAAGGTCACCACATTTGTGTGCATTGAACATACAGGAGGTAATGGGGTGCCAGTATTGTTTCGGAAGCAGTGTTACCCAAATGGATAAACTGTCCCGGGTCCATGCTGGCCTTTCCATGCGAGGCATGTTTTATCTGCAAAAGAGAGAAATTAGCTCGTGTTAATTGTGTTGTACAGCAGTGTTCAGGAAATGCATAATGTGTATTTCAAGTGGTATAAGGAGCAAGGGGTGGGGGTGGGAGGGAAGACCCTTATATGCAGTTGAATCTTGTTGAATCTCAAACATAGAGAATATACATACATACATGGGAGCAAGGGGGTATTAAGACTGCCTGATCGACTTCTGTTTGTTTTTTGTTTGTCTCAAAAATCTTAGTGGTGTAGCCTGGTCTTTTTTTGGACATTCTGAATGCAGCAAAAATTTGCTGTTACTTTTTTGACTGTCGGTATGTTTTTTGCTGCTAACAATTTCAAGAATATAAGCAGAGCATACCTGCAGGGAGCAGAGATGTCCACTGTAGAGAAAGATTTTTATCTTTTAAGATACATGCAGAGAAATATCTACTGCACTAGCAACGAATTGCTATATAGGCTGTGGCAGAAAAATCTCCTAATATATTTGACTAAGCCAAGAAATATCCAGGACTCTTGGGATCCTAATGAAGACTGGAGAAAGAAGCATTTCAAAATGCATAAAAGTCTTCTATGTTGTACACAAGCTGTAGGAACCTGTAGTGCATTTGTTGTCTTCCTTAACTGTTGTTTTTTTTTGTTGTTGTTGCTTTTGTTTTGCTGTGGCTCAAAATTAATAGCAGAGTCTGTTTGCAAAAGAAGAATAAAAAATTAAAGTTGATGGAGGGGCAAAAAAGAGGGGAACTGTGTAACTTAGATATTGACGCTTGAGGGAATACTATGTTCTCTTAAGCCTCCCAAATATCTGTAAGATATCTGTCTTTGTTTCATTTTAACTTTTCCCTGCAGGTGTGCAACTACTTTGATACTCAGATATCTAGGATATTAAATAATGGATGAAAAGAAAGTGCCAGTGTTTGGTCTTACAGTCCTCTAATATGACATCTCAATTTATTTGACGTTGAATACATGAGGGTGGTTTGGTTTTATATTTTTTTATGTCCTTTGGTTTTGGTTATTGTCCTTTGGTGTTGATACAAGTGCATCTTTCTACCTGTATATGGTATGCTACAGGTATTTCCAACTGATACGTTTTCTGACAGAAAAAAAATGAAGTATTCACGATTATATCTATTCATGGGAATACTGTTTTTAAAAATATATAAAGAACCTGTACTTTTTTACTTGCACAGTCTATGCAACAGTTATTAAGCTACCCTGAAGAGAGACATGATCAGAAGGCAAAAACATACAGAAAAAAATAAAAATGTAATAAAGTATGCATACAGTGTTTATTGCATGAGCTTGTTGTATTTGAGTAGCACCTTAATTCAATCACTGATCTCAAAAAATCCGTTTGAGGCTTAAAAACTCTTATCATGAGAAGTTTAAGATGGTGGTCACATATAACGTTTTAAAAAATTCCATCCTCCAACTGAATTAAAATAAAATAAATGCTTTAGTGATATTTATAAGTATGTTCTGTGTGTGTGTGTGTGCGTGTATATATATAAATTTTTGTACAGATGTGTTTTGTGTTATTTTTCCTTAAACAGAATTCTGTGGATACCGAAGCTCAAAACAGGATATTGATCTCTCTGGGATGCTTGGACATCTTTTACTAAGTACGGGATTTTCAAAGGAGATCCAGCATGGCCTAGATGGTTGACCTTTGGAAAACTTATAATGTCCTCTGGAACCAGTATCAGAAAAAAACGGCAGGGTCTGAGCCTGCAAGGTGTTGACCCAGAAACATGCATGATAGTGTTTAGAACACACTGGGCACAGGTAATGCTATTGAGTTTTATTGATTTGAAGAAGATTGCATTAAAATGAATTTCCTTCAGTCTTGCTTTTGGGGATAATCCTGAATTGCTGAGGAACAACTTCATCTACTACGTTTAAACATTTTAAAACACAAAGTTAATTGATGTTTTAAGGTATGGCTAGGCTTAACTAATCACACTTCAAACCCCAGACTTACATCTGAAAGGGAAGTAGTATGACATGGTAATATCTTATAGGAGGTCTAGATCTTCCACCTGTCTTTTCTAATGATTCACTGGGACTTGTACCCTGTTACAAACTTCTGTGTTTCCTTTCCTTATCCTAGGTAAGAGTTGCCTATCTTCTGTAAAGCATTAGATGTATGGGAGCCAAGCTGTATGCAGGGTTGTTTATTATGGACAGATAAAGATTATGCACTGATACTAAAAATTGTTTGCTTGTTATCAGGATTTTTACTGTTTGTAGGCAAAGATGTTTTGCTCTGAACAACATGATAGAAGATCTTATTTGCTACAGTAATATAAATAACAGTTTATGTAAAATTGATTTCTGTGCTTCTGCTTTTGCTGCTTCTGCTATCTTTAGAAGCAAGCCAGGAAAGGGCAGTGGTGTTTCTGAGATATTTCCAGTGTTGGAAGAGCCGTCTTTCAGGAACCACCTTCTGTCATTGAACTGTGATGATTCTGTTGTGTTAGGGGAGGACCTGCTGAATTTTGGGTTTTGCAGCAATTATCCTTCACAAAAGGACTAAATATGGTTGTTGTTCCACAGACAACGAGCTTCACTGACTGCATGCAGAACAGAATTTAATCCAGGGCATTTAAGTGCTGGGATTGCAGTTATTACTCAATCCTAAATCTGTGTTGAATGTTGTCAGGAGTACGTGGGCATAAGCGGCCATTTGTATTTTATATGATGTGGCATGGAGAGATCAACTATGTGGGCTTCTACCTCTCTCACAACTGCAAGTCACCTCATGATATTGATGCTCCTGAGCACGGTTACTCTGTGTGAAGAGCCAGCCCTTTGATTTCAGTCCTTTGTGACTAAGAAGCTGACTGCAAACATCATTGAAACTCAGTTTCCGAAGAAGTCTCCTCAGTTTGCTTCAGAGAACCTAAAGTTTTCTGCAGTAAGAGAGGTGTCAAATTCAGGTGCTTATAAAGGTGAACAAAAGAATTAACTTTTAGCCTCTTGCATGCCAAATGTGAGACTTTTACATCTAGAAGATTCTTGACAGACAAATCTTAAAAGCATAAAAAGGGTTTGGGCTTCTTGTTTTACAAATCCTGATTTTTTTTTTTCCTTATAGGTAAGTACATATTTTTAAACATACACTGAAAACAATTTACCTGTTCTTGTTTCTTTTTAGGTTCTAAAAATCTTAGAGAAGCATGATCCCTTGAAGAATACTCAGGCAAAGTATGGGGCAATTTCGCCTGATGAAGCCAGCACTGTTCAGAATTATGTGGAGCACATGCTTTTCTTACTAATTGAGGAGCAAGCAAAGGATGCCTCGATGGGGCCCATTCTAGAGTTTGTGGTCTCAGAAAACATAATGGAGAAGCTTTTTCTTTGGAGCCTACGGCGAGAGTTCACTGATGAGACAAAAATTGAGCAACTCAAAATGTATGAAATGCTAGTAACCCAGTCTCACCAGCCTTTGCTACATCACAAGCCCATCTTGAAGCCTTTGATGATGTTGCTGAGCTCCTGCTCAGGAACAGCCACTCCAACAGTGGAAACAGAATTGGTTGTCCTCCTGAACCAGCTCTGCTCTATAATAGCCAAAGATCCCTCCATTCTAGAACTGTTTTTCCACACCAGCGAGGACCAAGGAGCTGCCAATTTCCTCATATTTTCCCTTCTGATTCCCTTCATCCATCGAGAAGGAACAGTGGGCCAACAGGCTCGTGATGCACTGCTCTTCATAATGTCCCTGTCTGCAGAAAACAATGTTGTTGCAAACCACATAGCAGAGAACACCTATTTTTGCCCAGTAAGTTGTTCCTCTTTTGCTTGGTCTTCAGTGTTAAGCTAGGCATTTCACTTGTGTTCTGCTCATCTTGTTCTGTCCTTTTTGGTAAAGATGTGTTTTAACATACTTCTTTGTTTCTGCCAACAGCTGTTTTACAAATTGTAATGCTGTTCAAGCTGGCCCTACTCCCAAATGCAGTCTTGCTGCTTGTTTCTATACTAGTGTGCTTCCCCTCCTTTGGACCAGCACAAGTGTGTGTGTGTTTTTTTTTATTTATTTTTTTTTTCCTGCAGTCGCTCAGTAAGTTGATTTAGGAAACTGATGGAAGCTAAAGTGGGCGACTTGTTCTTTGTCAGCGATCTGCGCATTTTGGTGGCTGTCTCAACCATAACACCATCGTGCTGTGTTGTAGTCTGTTACAAAACTTGGTAGTAATGTTGCCTTGTTAGATCTGATAAATCAGCTGTATTACACAAATGGAAAATCTTTGCTATTAAACAAGTAAATAAGCTAATTTAACAAACAGAATTGCACTATTGCACTTGCTTCATGCCTTATCACAAAAATTAATTTGAGATCTGCAACAGCTTTAAAACCAAGTATCACTGTGGAGAGAAGATGCTCTTCTGTGCCAGTTTTTGGCTCAATTCTTTTATCTTCTGTGTGGCTTGCATTTTTAGTTTAATAAATGCCATAAAAAATTAAATGGATGGGAACCTTTCATAGCTACTAAAGCAGAGTGCTTTACAGTGCTTTTACACTAACATATCTTCAACCCAAACATTTGCACGTGACAGCTATTCCAGCCATAGGTCTCTGTTTCCCCTCAGACTGCTGTACCCTTTGACAGGTATGGCAGAGCCAGGTTTGTAGTTTGGAGAAAGCCTAGAAGTCCCAAAGCAGAACTTGTAAATGGTATCCTTTGTCAGTTGTAAATGTTGCATCAAATGTCTTGTGCTGAGAGACTCCAGTTGACCTTATTTAATAGATGCTGCTAAAAAATATGAACTTGGTTCTTAAATTGTCCCTGAGACCGATGCCATTATTGGCTCTATGCTATAACTTCCATAATTACATCTTCCAATTAATTAAAAAAAAAAATCCTTTTTACACTGAAGATAAAAGCCAGCTATATTAACCTTCGAACAGCGGGGAGCCATGATTGACAATCATTCTAATTAGGATGGCCTCTTGTCAAATGTGCTAAAATCAGACTTCTCTGAACAGTAATGAGACTGGCCTAAGTTTATAATAAAATTTTAATGCAGTGCCATAGAATTAGCTCACTAGCACAGAGTCTTTCCTGAATTTGAGTGTGATGAGCTCAAGGACCAGGTTCTGTTCTGGTGAAAGAAGATGCTCTGTAGACATCAGTGGCATTGCTGCATATCACTAAAATCAGGGTCACTGAGGCTACATCTGCACTGCAAAACAGGTGGCACAGCTCTTTGCTGATCCGAGTTGCGTTTGAGTGGCACTGTGATGATGCTGTCTCTGGTTACTTGGCTAAATTCGTTGATAGCACGTAGGATTTTCTGTACCATGCCTCACTGCATAGCATAGACATGTCCTGGGCCGAGGCCTGACTATAAATCTCTTCTGCTTCGTATGTCCAAATCTGTGCCAAAGTGTACCTGAAGGCTTTCTCCATATTATTTTTTGAGCTCACTTTGTTTAGCAGCTTTTTAAAACTAAACTGTCCATACTATTCAAAGCTGTGGGTGAGTAACCTATAAAGAAGGAAGGGGACAGGCTGGAGTGAGAACATCTCATTAACAAGTGTTTTTGACATAGAACGTGAAGACAAGCTATTTAGGCAAAGCTTTCTGATTTTTACAAAGGTTTTCCTGTATCTTTGGTCAAGTAATTTTTACAATGTTTTAACCTGCAGCTTCTGTAACTTCGTGATTTAAGGTATTGTCTGCTCACTGCATAACAGGAAAACAATGTTTCTATGGAATTTTGAGTAGGGTAGCATCTCAAAGCTTCTCCATGAAACATTGTATTTATAAATACCCCACAACTCAGGAGAATTAGGTATAAAAGAAGGTATTATGACTCCAATGCACTTGAAAAGTTGAGACTGCGCAGAGATAGGACAATGGATGTGGGAGGAATGAGGAATTATTAAAGGGAAGGAACTTAAATGTGAAAATAAGATGGCCAGATAGCAATTGTTTATATATTGACAACACATGATTTAACCAAATATGAGATTTACAAATCTCATAGACAGTCATTGCCCTTCTCTGAGTCAAGACAAAGCATATCAGTCATTGGTTTGCAGAGAGCCTCGTGACTCAGTGGTGAAAAAGAAAACTTTGGAGGTGTTTCTAAGAGTTGATGAGCATGTAGGGCTGCCATAACAATTGTTAGAAGAAATCTAGAAGGACACTATTTAAGGTAAAACAAAAAAAAAAAAAAAAAGAAACCGATCTTTCTCTCCCAGGATGTGAACTCATTCATTTCCTTCCTTCTAGAATATTTTTTTCATTGATGATTGTGATCTTGCTGATTAAAACTCCATAATGTGGACTGTGTGCATTATTTAATATGCCTGCTTATAACATGTGAAGAGTTCTGTTAGTAATTTCAAATGGTAGTTGTATTTTTACCACATACTTCTATATATAAAAAAATACATATTTTTTATTTAAAACAAAGTAAATTTGCTTCTAATGGCTACTCTGTTTCTCAGTGCTTTAGAAACACGGTTTCGCATAGAGCTATTTGTGTTGTACTTCATAGAAAAATAAGAGCTTTCTAAACGCTTCACATTTTAACAGCTACATCTGTCACTTGTTACTCCAGTAAGTTGGACAAGCTAAAGAGTTCCCCATTTTGAGACATTGAATGATTGGGAGTTCTCTGCTCCTTGTAGCAGTGAACAGCGTGTTTTGCTCAAGGTCGTTTTCATGCACTTCAGAACTAAACTTCCATATCAAGGAGAAATGAGGATAGTGCTCAGTTCTGAAAATCAAATTGCTTTGCTTACCGAGAGGGTGTGTGCTTATAAATAGCAATTAAATTTTAAGCAGACAATGGAAAATCAAGCATGCATTAATTAGGAGATTGTCACACAAAAGAAACTTAAATTCTCTTTTTCAGATTTGTTTTTTCTTTCTACAATTGTCTGAAGCCTGGGTTTGTGAGTACAAGTGTGGAGGGGATTACTGGAAATATTTTAATAGGTCTAGTGAAATCTTCCCAACTTCTTACTTTGAGCTCTTCTACCAAGAGAAAGGAAAAAGCTTCCTTGTTATAAAAGAATGTGATTGTACAAATAAAGCTTTGCTCCATGGTTTAGCTTCTTGGATTTGTTAGTATTTCCTGCAACTTTTTATTGTTGGTTTTATGTATGTGTGTGTGTGTCTGTATATATGTGTGTACATATATACAGACACACACACACACACACATATGTATATATATATATATATATAAATATATATGTAGATTTGTGTGTGAAAAAGTAGCTTAGCATGCCAAAGCAGAGTTTCCCACAGTATTATCTTTTTCATGGTATTTGGCTTAATTATATGTACCAGAATAAGCTCATCTTCAAAGCTTTGTGATTTTTTAGAAATGGAAAGCATTCAGAAAGACAGCCTTTGCCCAGCTGGATAGGTTAACAGTTGTAATTGGTTACACTTGCATGTCATCAACACCTCCGTCCCCTTCCATGAACCCTTGGGTTGTTGACCTGCACATTGTCAAGTGTTTGTTTTCTAATGGAGAAAACTGTTCTGTTTCACCTGGGCTTTGACTGTCTAGCCCTGTAGATGCCAAGTAGCCATTTCTGGACAGACAAATTCCTCTAAGAGTTCACTGAATGAAAACCTGAAAGGTTTCCATCAGGCTGAGTCTTAATGATCCCATTAAAATGAACATCATCTTAAAAAGTGCCCTGAAGTTGTAGAAAATCGTGTCAGAAGGATGAGAATTGTAAAATAAAAATTTCCAGCTTCAAATAATGTTAATAATTAAAAGTTTGGTTCTGAACTCCCAATACTCTTGATATATTCAGTAACACTTAAATAGTTTTTTTTTGGAGGAAATATGCTTTTAAAATTGTAACTAAAACTACATTTTTGCGCTTCTGTGATAATATTCTACATAGATCACCCGTAAGCCTTAATAGCACTGGAAATGTCTATACAGTAAGTTTCCCTTTTCTTCCCTTCCCTTTTCCAAGTAAATAAGAAGGAAAAAAAAAATTATTAACAGTTAAAAATTTATTCTTGTGACTTGGATTCAACTGAATACTCATGTCTATGAATAGAAGTCAACATGTATCTGTGGCCAGAGTGAGACTGAACTTCATTTTTGTTGATGGGGACACTTCCCGCTCCATTTCTAGTTTTTTCTATTTCCTGGTGAAATAATTTTATATAGGCATATGGAAGTAGTAACATTCAAACCATCTGCATCTGACAGGCTATGGAGATATGACAATGGTGGCTTCTTCTGGAGGTTAAATGAAGGAAAGTGTAAAATAATTTTACAAGCATTTAAAAAAATATATAAATTCTGATAAAGAATACAAGATGATCTGCTTTTTCACATCACTTTCTCATAAGTACCAGTTCTTGTAAGAAGGATAATATGTAGAAGGCTCTTGAAAATACTCATGTTTTTCTGCCACAGAACTCTTCCAAAGGAAACTGAATTAATCATAACAGTCTCTTGAGTTACTAAAACTAGCAAGAGAAATGATTTGTTGTGCGTTCAAGCAGATGAACATTTAGAAACTTAACTTATTTCTCTGCTGTTTTTGAAATACAGGTGCTGGCAACAGGACTAAGTGGCCTCTATTCGTCTTTGCCTACGAAGTTGGAAGAAAAAGGGGAAGAGTGGCACTGTCTACTGAAAGATGACTGGCTGTTGTCACCAGCCCTTGTGCAATTCATGAATTCTCTTGAATTTTGCAATGCTGTGATACAGGTAATGGAGCAGAGTTGTCCTGTTCTCTTGAAGCAATAGTTTTATATATTCTGCAAAAGTTTTTGCATGATGGAGTTTAGTTTCCCTTATTGATGGCATGGACTTGTACGTTACACTAAATAAGTTGCTTATAAAGTGAAGGCTTTGTGCTGGTTGTTCCAGTTGTAAGGATGAATTAATATGTTTTTGTTTTTCAGATGACAGATGCTTGTAATAAATTCAGTATAATTGTGCTGCTTTTTGGTTTTTCATCACAACATTGGGAGTATTTTCTTTATTTAAAAAAAAAAAAAGTTTATTGCATTTTAATGCTACTGTTGATATTAAAAGTAAATTGAATGCTTTTACGTGGTGGGGGAGAGTACTATTTATGTATTTGTGTTAAAAAACACCCTGTTTTTGTTTAAGCTCTTATAACAGTGTACACAAGAAAATAGTCTGTTTAGTTTGTTTTGCCTTTCAGTGACCACTGCATTTAAATTATTAATTTTAGATTGGCCTGTTTAGATTACATACTCTGTTCCTAATAATTGCTTCTTGATTTTTTTCTGGCTTTGATCCAGAAAAATCTATTTTGTATTGTTTTTTAAGGACAGAGGACCCTATAGAGCGCTTGTCCAATATTTTATTAACATAGGATATAAATTCTACATGGGCTGTAGGTATGTGTTACTTAAAGAAATGCACTGAATAGGATTGAAAATAACATTTACTGTTAAATAAAAAATAAGTTGTAGTGAGATGCGTGCAAAATACAGTAAAGCAACTGATCAACTATTAAAGCATTGAACAAGTGAGAATAATAGTAGCTGTCATTCTTTAAATGCAGTATAAAAGATTTTTTAACATCTGTCCAAGTGGTGTTTTTATGCAGGAGATCTACAATTGTAGGAGATATGTTTGATACCTTTTTTAGAGTCCATGCAAAAGTTGCTGCAGACGAATTAAGAATATGTAATTTTAAAACTGCTTTTCAAATAAACTGAAAATGATTAAAGATCTTAAGTTGGCATGCACAAAAGAGCAGTTTCTGAGTGCTGCCTGATTGTGTCTTCAGTCTATCTTCAGCAATGCGCAGAAGAAAAGTCAGTTACAGCAGGAATTTTTGCTTAATGCATGGAATGGTTTTTGTGCTGTGGCTTGTTCTGTGCTGACTGAAAAACTTTGGCCAGAGATTAATAAGGGACAGTGTAGCCAAGACCTCTTGCCACTTACTACTTTTTCCCTGGATCACAGCATGAAGAAGGGTAACCATTTTTCTTCCCCTTTTCAAAGTGAGAGTTATAAATTATAGGAATTCTGGGAAGAATTGCAAGTAGGAGAATGTATTTGTGGCTGCATGTAGGCTGTGACATTCAAGTTTGTATTTAAACTTCAAACAGAATATATTAACCTGGAGTGCTTCTGAAGGAATATTTTTTTTGCTCTTATTAAATTTCTTTTAAATGCATTAATTGGTAATATGTTTTATTTTGTGGAAAATAGTGAATGCATCATTATAAAAGTAGATTTTTGGCTTCCAATAGCAGTTCAATTTTTTTAAAGCTAATAACCTATTTTATAAATAAGGTATGCTGTTTTTCGTTTTGTTTTTTTCTGTTTCTTTTTCTTTTTTTTTTCCCCAGTGTTTGGGGGAAGAGCATGTGAACTGAATGTTCTTATGCCACAGCCTAGAGAACGCTTTGGTTTACCTACTCTTAAAACACCGGAAAACAGTTGTTCTGCTTTTTCTTGTTGTAAGAGGACAATTTAATGATGGCAAGTCCACCTTCAAGTGACCCTGAGAAGGTTGCAAGAGCTAAATTTAGAATCTCAAGTCTTCCTTGATGCATGGGCATGCACGCTTTGCTGTCCATCCATTCATCTTTGTCAACACACGCGGAGATTGAAAAGCCCTGTTCTCCCACTGTTGGCAGGCTTACCGTAATTAAACACAGTTTGTGTTTGAGGAACACACAATCTTAAGAATCCGTATTGTAGAAAATGCTAGAGAGAAGGACAAATGAACATGGCTTTTTAAATGTGAAGTTATTTTGGTAGTGGGCAGTAGTAGTATCTTCCTTGTCTTGTTTGAAATCTCACTGGAACTGTTCTGTCTTTCCTCACCTCCTTTCCCCTTAGGTCGCACATCCTTTGATTCGTAACCAGCTTGTGAATTACATTTACAATGGATTTTTGGTGCCAGTAATGGCTCCTGCGCTCCATAAGGTCAGTGGTGAATGCGAGTGTGGCTTGAATGAGGCAAAGACGTTATGGATGATCTCTCCGTGAAGATGCTATTGAACATAGCTGAGTGAACATAACAGTAGTGAGTTCTAGGCTGACTTCCCACCTTTTCTTTCCAGAATTCCTATTTACTCCATGCAGATTGTTAAGTAAAATTTGGATATTTATGAAAATGTTTAAAATTGTGAAGTGAAATGGAGAACCAAAACCTTTTTGTTGCACTAGGCTGACATACCATCAAAAAGCAGTGACCATTCAGACAGCATTTCACCATGACGGACATTGCCATGAGGGATTTTTTTCCCAAATGAATATTTTACCAAAAGGAAAATGCCCAAATTCCAAATGTTGAAAAGGAAAATGTTTGGTCAATAAATATTCCCCCAACTTTAGCTAAGTTGGTAGTGTTTCCTTACCACAGTTGGTAGAATTATTTTCATAAAGTGGAGAAGAAATGGAATTTTATGTCAATTTTCTAATGTGCTAGGGTGCAATTTACGTTACGTCAAAGAAAAAAAAATCTTTGAGTTTTAGTGCAAAATATTTCACTGATGTTGGTGAATTACTGATTTTCTTATTATTTTTTATTATTTTTGTTGGACTGCAGGAAACTACATGTCCTGCAGAATATGTCAATTAACAGTCATTTTCCTAAAAAAGAACATCTTGTGTGAGGAGAAAAAGCAGGAATTGATGAGAATAAAAACTAAGATTTTTTTTTTGGATATCTACCAAAAATTGCCAGGAGAAGACTAATAAATAACTTTTAAAAGTTCTACTAATTTTTACTAAGCCTGCCAAGCAGAAAGCTGTGCACCTGTTCCATTTCTGAGAGGCCAGTGAAACACCATCTCCTACTTCCTAGTGTAGGACTTGTCTTGGCAGTACACACAATTCCTTGTGGTAAGCAGTCACTTACCAAGAAAGTAATAAGCAGTGTAGAATCTTCAACGATTCAGCAGAACACAAACATTTGAGAATTTGGCAGGGGCTGAAATAAAATTTGGCTGTGATCCAGATCAAGTTTGTAATCTGTCATTCAGATAGTTCACCCCCTTACCTAACAGGATTTCTTTCTTCTGTTTTGTAGAAATTTCTTGACTTAATCCAGTACAAACACTGGGAAGTGCAATCAAAAGTGAAACAGGAGCTAGCTTTAGGTCAACATTACAGATAACAAGCGAGGTGTCAGAAGGTAGCCGTGGGACTCTAGTTTTAGTAGGTACTGTTTTTAACCTCTGAAGTGCTCAAGACAAATTTTAGGGTTCTTGAATACTACCATGCAGCTGAATGCTATTTGTGTTGGTCAATATAACTCCGAACCTCCTATTGGCTTGATTATTTCTTTATAGATGCTATTTAAATCCTTTAAAGCATGCTGTTCAGATTAGCTTCTTCATGTGATAGATATTTTATTGAACCGCATTAATATATTCTGAAATTGGGTGAAATCATACTTGTCTTGAAAATGGAGGTGTTGGCTGCTAACACACATAAGCTTCAAGCCCAGGTCTTTCCTGAGCTCTTAAATTCTCTTGCATCCTTTTTCTTCCATTAATAAACCTTTCCTTGATGAGCATTAAGTTTGACTTCTCATTAAAAAAGAAATATTTGATATATTTAAACCCCAAACACACTTAACGGAGAAGACGTATTGCACCATCTAGTGGATTTGACACAAGGCTCTCACATATATGAGACCAAAATCTGTAGCAAAAGGAAACAAAGGAAGGTACCTTTGACCTCTTCAGTCTTTGTGTTGTGCCACATTAATTTAACGGAAAATAAATATTTTGCATCTTTGCTTTTGGGACAGATGCCTCTGGGCTAAGATAGATAATTATGCTGTAACAGCTCTTTCATACGCTACAGTGATTTCTAGTGGTCGTTCCAAAAGTTCATGCTGTGTTGAGGAGTAAGCAAGTATCATCCATTTGGGGACTCCAGTGTTGTAATGGAAATTTTGTTTTTCTCTCCTTAATAACACAAAGGTGAAATATGGGAAGGGCCAAAATGAGAGGCATCACGGTGGTTTTAAAGCAGAAGTACTTTCATTACTTTCATTGAATAATACTACATGCATCTTGATTTTTTTTTTATCCAGTTGTTTATTGGTGTGGGTTGCTTGGATTAATTCTGGCATGTATACAGGAGCATGGTATAAAAACCTGACTTGGAAGACAGATCTGGGGAAGGTTAAAGAAGAGATGCTAATTATTAGTACATGTTCTGTAAATCTCTCTTGATGGAAATCTTATTAGTAGAATTTAATTGGTATGGAACAGCTGCTTCTGATACCTGTTGGTGACAGACGTGGAAGGAAGCGAGTCCGGACCTTGTATGGCATGCAGGCCCTAGCATTCCACATCTAGTCTGGTACCCATGGTTCTAGCTTAATGCAGAATTCAGAAGAGAGAGGAGCTTTTGGCTCTGTTGGCACTACTTCAGATCTGTTCTCTACGTATTCTACTCCAATTTTCCCTCAAGGAGTAGATGTTTTGAGTTCAAAATTGCTTTGCAGAGAGACACAGACGTGAATTTGTTGTTTTGAAAAGACAGCTCCAGTCGAGAATGCAGACATCTAGGAAAGAAATCTTCAATCTTCTGTGTTCTCATTGTGATAGAATTTGATTTCTGTGTAAAACAACAACAGCCACATCAACAAATCACATTAATATGACTTCCTGTCTGATCACCAAATCTAATTTAGATTATTCAAGTATATAAAATAAAATCAGCCAAACAACCGTACAAGCAATATTCAATAAATTGTGTAGCTAATAACCTTGTTATCTTTTAATCCCTCGTGGAGCAACAGCAACATTAGTTTGACTTATCAGCTGAGGTATTTTGATATGAACAAAATGTCTGGCATGAGGAGGGTTGCTCGCTTTTGGATTGAAGCTGAGCCTTGATCATGCTGGCCAGTTTCTCCTTCTCCTGTTTCTGTCCAGAACTGCAACATAACTGAGGCTGGCAGGCACCTGTGGATGTCATCCTGCCTTAACCTCTCACTCAAGCAGGAGTGAGAGGTTAAGGCTTCTCCAAGCAAGTTGTGCACTAGTTGTTTCTTTGCCTTTTTTTTTTTTTTTCCTGATGTCAATTTGGAATTTCGAGGGTTTCATTTATTGCCCCATTGCTTCTTATTCTTTCACCAGGCACCACCAAGAAGGGTTCTGTTACCTTCGCTCCTTCCCAGCAGGTATTCTCACACACTGATAGGATCCTGCTGAGCCTTCTGTTCTCCGGGCTGAGTAGTCCCAGCTCTCTCTGCCTCTCCTCATACATCAGATGCTCTCACAGCACATTCATCTTTGTGGTCCTTTGCTGGACGTACTCCACCATGTCCTGGGTGGCCCAGCACATCTTAGCAGTGCTGAGTAAAGGGAAAGGATGCCCCCCACCAACCTGCTGGAAATGCAGCCCAGAGTTCATCTTTGCTGCAAGAACTCACGGCTTGCACGTGGCCAGTCTTTGTCCCCAAGGACCTGTATGTCAGGGTCCCTCTGAATGGCAGCACAGCCATCCAGTCTGTCAACTGCACTTCCCACTTCTTCATGTCTACAAACTTGCATGAGGGTACACTTCATCTCATCATCTAGGTCATTAATGATGATATTAAACTGCCCTGGCCTCAGCGTAGCCCCCTCCTCACGGGCATCGAGCTGTACTTTGCATTGCTGATCACAAGCTTTTGAGCCCAGCACTGCTACTGGTTTTCAATCCACCTCACTTCATCATTTTGTCTGTGAGGATGTTGTGCAAAAGGCAGTGTCAAAAACCATGCAAGAGACAGTGTCAAAAACTGTGCAAGAATAGATATCAACTGCTCTGCATTTATCTGCGAGCCAGGCATCTTGTTGTAGAGGGCATGATTGCCCCTTCATAAATCCTGCCTGCTCCTATTCACCTTCTTGTCCTTAATGTGTTTGGAAATGCTCTTCTCTTCTTCCTGCTTAAAACAGTGCACAATTCAACAGGACACTTCGTGAAGGTGTCACAGCTTTTTAGAATTTCAGTTCATGGCTCCAGACTTTGAGATGTGTATATACGTGATCTTGAACTGTCTGTAATGCTCATGGCATTATGTAGTAAAGCCTTTTTAAAATTTTTGCAGACTGTCCCCCACATGTACTTACTATGTACATGATTCACCGTGTGAATGAGACAGTACAAGAGTGTTGAGAATAGCAACGCATTGCTATGAATAAGTTGGGATGGGGAGACCAACGTACTTTGCTTGGTGTGATTTGATGGTTTTATTCAGCTCAGGGAGCCAATATGTAGCTGAAAAAAGAATCAGCTAGTTCAGGTTTTTTCCAGTTAAGGAAGTTTCAAATTTATTGTGCAGGCTAGCTGCCTTGAAATAACCTGTTTTTCACTGTGAACACTGAAGGTTATTTAGGGAGCAGATTAACTGTGATGTGCTTAAAAAAAACAAACGTTGTCTGAGTTTATGACTCCCTAACTTCATTTCTGAAAGATAAGTGTCCTAATTATAGCATATTCTTGCAGCCTAATTTATACCTGGTCTGTACTTGTCTGTTGTCACGTTGCGTGGGTTATCCCACCTACCCACGTAATGAGGAATTGACAAATATGTTCCTATCCCAGAAGCTGAACATTGCCAAGTGGGTAGACAGAGCTCAGATTTGTATCGCGTAGCTGGGGATATGCATTAACTGGCTGCAGTCTTGTCCTTTGGTTGGTTTTTATTGTACTTCTTACAAGAGTTACCTTCCTTGCTTCTGACATCTGAGTTTCTAGAGAAATGGAAACACATGATTCAGTGCCGTTCAGTGGGATTTGTCTGAGTGTTTGTTATGCAAGGTCACGAATTCCTTATTTCTGTACGGATTTAGTTAAAACCAGAAAGAATAAAATACTTTGTCCATAAAGATAGACGGACAAAGGAGAGGTTAGCTTGATAGTTTTCATTTCGTAGTAACAGCCCATGATTTTTGGCCAAACCATGCTTCGTT